ATATATATATATATATATATATATTGGTAAGAGGGAGAATCGTGAAAAAATTAAAAATTGAGGAACATCTTAGTAATCGTTCATCCGTACGGTATGTACATATGCATAACATGCATAGAAATCAAGAAGCATTTTCAGTTACTTGTATGCACATGTGTGCATACCGTACAAATGAATGATTATGAATTTGCTTTTCAGTTTTTTGGGTTTTCTCAAAACAAAAACACACACACACACACACTCTCTCTCTCTCTCTCTCTCTCTCTCTCTCTATATATATATATATATATATATATATATATATATATATATATATATATAGTCTAGTTTCTTTTCCTACCTTTGTAAAATATTTTGCAATGTTAGGTTGTTTATATGAGAAATAACTTGATTGAACAGATAAACTTCATAACTTCGAGGATCAAGGCATCCATGATGTAGGTGTTTGAATAAAGTTAGAAATCCGACCACATGCCTTATAACAACGACAATAAGCCTAAATTGTCTGTAAACACAAACAAGGTTGTGCATAAACATATACATACGAAAGAGAAAATTGTAATGGTCCGATGTTATATATTGACTCATTCTTAAAGCTCTATAAATATAGCATAATCAAAGGTGCATATATCATCTTGTCTTCTATACGACTATAATTACATAAGGTCTTAAGCAGTGTTTTAACAAGTACGCATGGTTGACCTTTCTTATAATAAGTCTATTAAACAACGTGTTTAACCAGGATATCCAACCCGCTATGCAAGCCGACTAATCTCAGAACGACCACTTGCTTTGCTGGTAGCCCAGAGTCACCGTATTTGAACCTCCGTGGCCACAAGAGAATTTTTATTCATCCTTGGATTTGAACATGAGACCTTCAAACACTTTTGACCATTGGAGCCAATCAGACACCACCCTTATGGTTAGAATTCGTAAGTTTGTGCTCAAACAATTGTAAATATGAGAACAAAAATATAAAATAATCACAAAATAGTGTCTTGTGAGCAGGAATACATCCATATACCTTCATAAACACCAATCTATATACTTCTTTTAATGAATATATATATATATATATAATATATATATACTATATGATATTTCTAAATGACATACATATATAGCATAAACCTTTCATCCATCACCAATGTCACAAAAGACCACCAAAAGTTCCCCTATTGAAGCCTAATTTCAGTTGGAGTTCAAGTCCAATGTGTTTGACCTTGACTCAAAGTCAAAGTCAAAGTCATTCACATATTGACTATTCAAATCAAACCTCTTGCTATCTTTCTGCAATCTTTTACCTTCACAATTCCCATCTGAAATTGTGCTCCCACTTCTCTTCCTTCCATTTTTAGCAGGGGGATTCATCTCCATCAATGACAGAACAACATGATCATCATTTTCCCGTCTTCCAGAACTCTCTGATGAAGTCAACGAGCTTTCTAACGATGATCCAATTGTCAATGCTTTCGGGTTCTTTTCGACCTCTTTCTTTAAGGTTGAATCGTCTAGTTCCGTAAGTACCGATAAAGAATTCGGACACCCATTGTCCACCATCGAAACTAAATGAGAAAGCTCGGCTTTTGCTGCTTCCACTTCTATAGCAGACGAATTGTATCCCGCAAGTGTGTCTTGTGCTTTTCTTAATACCGATTGGAGATACTTGCCTTGAGCTTCAATTCTCAGCTGCAAATGTCTTTGTACCTGAGAACCCAATCGTTAGTGTACTACATTCAGTCTAAGTTGTACCTCACGACATGTATATCTATACTTTTTCTACATATTTTTCGGTTTTCACCTCTATTTGTTCATGAAGTTTCCTCTGCACCTCCATTTGCATCTGTAGAGCCTGAGCAATCTTCAAGCTTCTAATGGATAAAGATTACCATATATCAATGTTTCGGATTTTATTCTAGGAAAAGATAGAGATTTTAAAGGAGAGGGAGGTTCATGGGAAAACCCCAAAGAAAATGAATAACTAAAGAACATCCTGATAACTGTTCATCTGGTCGGTATGCACATGTGCATACAAGTAATTGAAGCTGCTTTTTGGTTTTTATGCACATTTGCATACCTGTCAAATGGCTTACAAATCACTTGTATGCACATGCATATACCGTCTAGATGAACAGTTACCAAGGGTGTTACTTGGTTTTTCATTTTTTTTGCAATTTTCCCTTGAACCCGGCCCTTTAAAGGCAAACAGTGTATTACTCATTAATCTGATTTGGGGTTTCATCGTTGTGATCGATACTGGTTATATCACTTCTATGATCATCCGCAAACTCTGCATCAAAATCATATGATTAAAATCTGGCATGGTGACATTCAATCGTTCTTGATTACATGCTTGTTAATGAATAAATATTAAAGAAATCAAAATGCATATTTGCTCACCTTCTTGCATATTTCCACTGCAGGCTGGTGACTGCTGAATCTTCCCCAACCTATATTTCTGCATCAAACACAAGAAAAACTCAGCATATTCAGAGAGAATTGTTAAATTTTTCCAAGAATTCAACAAAATCCAAGAATGGACAAGGCTAAAGTACCTGCAAATGACTCTTTAGGTGGTACAAAGTAAGCCCATGAATGCCCATTACTCTCATCAAAGATTTTGGTGTTGCTTCTGTTCATACAAGTGAAAAAAGATTCAAACTTTTTGAAACCCAACAAAAAGATTTGAGTAAAAGAGGATGATTTATAAAATACTAACTCTCTGGGCCTCCAAGTTGAGTGACGGAATCGACGAATCGTTGATGAAGCTCAGGAGTCCATTTGAGTCTAGGCTTAGCATCACTGGACAAGACCAAGTTCAAATCTTGATTTTGAATATTCTGATGAGCCATGTTTCCAGTTTCTGAAAGAGATAAAGAACAGAAGAGAAAGGATGTAGGTATATATATGTGTGTGTATGTATATATTAGTGATCAAACATAAAATAGGATTGGGTTGGGTTGATCTGGTCTGATTCTCTTTAATTCAAGATTTGTGCCTGAAATAAGTGGCAGATAAATGTGTCTTTATAATTGAGGGGGGTTGGG